CCTGCCTCTATCTCCCAAGTGCTAGGATTACAAGCACTCTATGCAGTGCTGAGGACTAAACCAAGTCCACCACCACTGCCCGGCTCCATTCTTCTTGTATAGGAAATAAGTTTTCATTTCTTACAGTCTCAATTCTCATGACTTTGATGATACTGCATTATGCTGACATACCTGTTACATCTCCATTTGTTTTCTAGATGTGTGCAAACTAATTCTTCCCTCCCCATCCAGCCCACAACCGTGTGCTTTTCCCCAATTCTGAGGCCTTGTTCTTTTGTTTTCTGACTTTTATTCAAAAGATATTTTTTTACACTTCAACTGTGACTCACATTTGCTGTCTGTGAAATACTATCTATCCAGTCTTCCCACTCTACACTTGAAGTATGTCATTCAAACTGAGAAAGCTTCTCGTCTATAAAGTAACTCAGATGGTTACTACAGCACTTCCAAGCCTTAGAACTCGATGAACGCTGTAACAGGCATAGTTAATGAGTTTTGTTTGCTTTTCCCTCAGGCTGATTCTTCCTCCATTTCAAAATGCCAGAAAAGACTCACTTTTCTATTCCTGGAGAAAGAATCTGAATGTCTAGGCTTTCACTCTCATTTTCTTGAATTAATGCTCTAGCCCCGATTTCACTCTAAAGCTCCAGGTCTGTATTTCTCTTGGCTACACATCATTAACTAGCAATGCTAACAGTTGTGATACATGAAGGCACTGGGCAAACCAAAGAAGTCTTTGGTTTCAAAGTTGTATGACTCAATGGTAAAAAGCACAGCTTTAGAATAATACATATATGACTATTCTTGAGACAGGGTCTCACCATCTAGCCTAAATAGCTCAGGCTCCCTCAACTTCTTGATGGCCCTGCCTCAGCTAGCTAGCTTCCTTCCTTCCTTCCTTCCTTCCTTCCTTCCTTCCTTCCTTCCTTTCTTTTTTGGTTTTTAGAGACAGGGTTTCTCTGTGTAGCCCTGGCTGTCCTGGAACTCACTCTGTAGACCAGGCTGGCCTCAAACTCAGAAATCCACCTGCCTCTGCCTCCCAAGTGCTGGGATTAAAGGCATGCGCCACCACTACCCGGCTATGCCTCAGCTTTCTAAAAGCTAAGATTATAAGCATATACCAGCATGTCAAGCTACATATGAACTTGAATCCTAGTTCTGTTGCTTTTTGGATGTGAAGTCCTGACCAAATTATATCATCTTCTGAGTCTCAGTTTTCTGATGTGTGGAGTAAGATTAAAGTAAATTAGCACTTACAACTTACATAGTTTTTGTATGTTTGCAAGGTATCTTAGCACAATGCCTGAGCCATGGGCATGCCCTATTCAGAGTCAAATTTATATAACCTCTCGGGGTGGTTCGAGAGGAAAACTCAAGTACTGCTATGAGACAGACGGGGATTGGATAATGGTCCTGAACAGATAAGAACCCCTAGACTCTTGAACCTTTTTGTATGCTGTCTGCCCAGAATGGCTTTCCTTCTCATTTCTGCCAACCGAAACCCAAGTAGCATCTTTCCTGCTCCAAGAATTCTTCTGTAATTTCTTCTAAAATTTTGTCTACAGGATCAAGCCACCTACTCAAAAATAAGCATTTCTCTTTCTTTAAAAAAACAAAACAAAAAGCATAAACAAACCCTCTTTTTTTTGTCCTTTCCTTAGTGTATATAATTCCCTGTGCTTAATCCCTATTACCACAAAACAAACAAACAAGCAAAAAAACAACCCCTACTACTCCCCAACACCCAACAGGGTCCCACTATGCAATTCTGGTTGTCCTGGAACTCGCTATATAGACCAGTTCTTCTCAAACTAATAGAGGTCTGCCCACCTGCCTCTTGAGCATGCTATCATGCCTGGCAGTATCTATCTTTTTAGACAAACAGGAAAACAAAACCCCAAAAAACCTAAAAAAAAATTTCTGACAACCTTCAATTATGTCCCGTTGTAAACGGTATGGATGGTAAGTGTTGTTTCTTAAGATGTAAATTCTTAGAAAGCTGTTGCTTTCTACTAAGACAGTACATACTTAATGAAAGAATAATCTATGAGCCAACTCTGACACAACTTACATGGTTTTAAATATTTATAGTATCTACTCTATGCAGATTACTTGAACTACTATAAGTCTGAATTCAGCTGCAGAGATGGCTCAGTAGTTAAGCGTGTATACTGCTCTTGCAGCGGAGCAGGTGGCTCAGTCACCACTGATCTCCTCGTCTGATCAGTCTCCTCAGACCTGCATTCATATGCACATACCTACACTAGAGTCACACGCATATACGTATCATTTAAAGAGTAGTAAGTCTGGATTCATTAAGTATCTGCAAAAAAAGAAGACTGAGTTTTGGAGTAATGTCAAACGGGGCTCTAATCCTGAAGAACACTGTCTTCCTTTGGTTACAGGTCTCTGAGCACATTATTAAACATTTCTAAGCTTCCCTTTCACTTTCTGCAACATGAAGAGAAACAATGCCTTAATGCACACAGAGCAGCTGCTGGATAGAGGAGGACACAGAGCTGGGTAAACGTCTACTGCAGTAGGAGTGTCTTTGAGTTACTTTTCCTAGGAAAGTGGGTTTAATCCTAGTTAATCCATGTTATGTGTATTTAACAAGGCAATATATCTTACACATCTAAGGATGAAACCCAAACAGTGAATACGCAATAAATTATGTCACTGGCATTAAACTGTCTGTTTAAAACTATTTTTGATCTAATTACTAAGAGCTGCTGAAGTTAAAACTGAATCTGGTCTAACAGGTTAAAGAATACTTTGTGATCTTTTTACTCTCTCCTTTTTTAGTATACTTTTGACCAGATAAAGTATCAACCAATGCTGGGCGGTGGTGGCGCACGCCTTTAATCCCAGCACTTGGGAGGCAGAGGCAGGTGGATTTCTGAGTTTGAGGCCAGCCTGGTCTACCGAGTTCCAGGACAGCCAGGACTACACAGAGAGACCCTGTCTCGAAAAACAAAACAAAACAAAACAAAAAAACAAAAAAAAACAAAAAAAAAGTATCAACCAACATCAGCCACAAAACCTTTGGTTTAATATAGTAACTAGAACATTAACGTATGAGTAATAATAAACATAAAAATATCTGAGCTCAAAAAGAAAAACTTGGGGCTGGAGAGATGGCTCAGCGGTTAAGAGCACTGACTGCTCTTCTAGAGGTCCTGAGTTCAATTCCCAGCAACCACATGGTGGCTCACAACCATCTGTAATGGGGCCTGATGCCCTCTTCTAGTGTATCTGAAGACAGCTACAATGCATTCACATATATAAAATAAATCAATCAAACCAAAAAAAAAAAAAAAGAGAGAGAGAAAAGAAAAGAAAAACTTTTCTTTAGATGAAATATTATTCTTATTCTTCATAAATGTCTGGTTTTGTCAATAAAACTTTTTCTTTCTTGATGGCTCAAACTTTTGCTCTTAGAATTACTTAAGAACACATGAGATAATAACCTGGATAGATTCCTATAATCATCCTTTTCTTTACCTTCAGGCTTAGAGCAGCACTACTGAAATGACTCAATAGGAAACCGCCCTGCCAGTCAGCCCTCCCGTGAGCAGAATCAAGAAGGCAGGGAGGGGCATGAATGACAAGTTTACATGATGTCACCAATACACATAAAAAATTCAAGTAACTGTTCATCTTTACCTTAGCAAGTTTGATTTCAGTACCAAGTAAAAAGAATACAAATTATATTAAAAATAAAGACGCCCCAAAATAATCTTTAGTAAGCAGAGGAAAAGTTTCTTTGGAAATAATAGTGTCTAGAGGTTATTTAACATCTTTGTTTTCATTTTTTTTAATATGTAATGCAGTGGTGTGTGTGTGTGTGTGTGTAAGGCAGAAGACAAGTTCCAAGAGTCAGTTCTCTCCTTCCATTATGTAGGTTCTGGGGATCAAACTTGGGTTGTCTGTCAGGTCTGGCAGCAGCAAGCGCCTTTTTACCCACTGAGCCATCTTACCAACCCAGCTCTATTTATTTTTTCAACATTAGTGATTATATGTAATAATTACCAATCTTTGATGACTACACACGCTTAAGAAAAAGTATTAACTCTTAACATTTTAAAATTAAGCAGAATGAGGATGAAATAATGTATACTATACACTCACGACATAAACACAAAATATTTAAACTACTTCGTAAGGGACCCCTTCTCTTATATTTATGTAAAATAAAAGGACTCAATTCTTAATCTACTCCCTGAGGAAACTATATTTAAAACACAAGAGGAACACATTATAGTATGTTGAATACCTCAGTCACCATACATTGTTTCCCACAACTAAGGAAACCAAATAATACTTAATTCCCATTCTCTTTCCTGTCTTAAACAATATAAGGCGCAGAAATGTTTTTAAAGGGAAAAGCAACTGTAGATGTGGTAGACAATATCCTACTTCTTTTCATGTTTTCTCGGGGGGCAGTAAGAATGGAAGTCGAAAGTCCTGAGCATCTAAAGATGGCCTATTTTTTACAAGTACTTTTCGGTAAGTCAGACGGAGGCGGAGAAATAAGCTGTTAACAGCGTTAGAGTGCACATCACACACACATACTCGCACATATTGGGGGAAACGCCAGCGCAGACCTCTGTCCTTTGACAATGCAGCACCCAGCGTCACCCATACTACGATGGAAGAACGTGCTTGCCACACGCTCCAACTCTTAGCAAAGTCAAGCTGGCATCCCAAATCCAAAGTGGCCTGCAGACACCGGGGTGAGGCAAAAGTCTACAGGGGGGCACTGACGCCAGGATTTCTGAGAGCGATTCAAGAAAGATCACCCGTCAGTTGCCTCTAGCCGGCATCGGAGATGCTGCTGCGCGCCGCCGCACCCCAGGCTCCGGGTCTGGCCAGGCCGGGAGGGTGCGCGGTACCGCCAGCCGCTCCCGTTACCCGGGGAGCCTCGGGCCGGTCGCCACACGCCCCCAGCTCCCCACCCCACCGGTCCCGGATAGCAGGGATGCCCGTGCCCCGCTCACCGGCCCGGGTGGTGTCCGTCAGGTCATGGTTGGCCGCTCCCCGGGGAAACTCCCTCAGTTTCCGGCCGCTCAGGCTCAGCACCCCGGTGACCGCCGCCTCTTCCAGGGCTCGGTCGACCGAGCGGCTCCAAGAGCCCGGGCCAGGACCAGGGCCCAACCCAGGGCTCGGTCCACAGTTAGCACCGGAGAGGTTTCTACCGGACGCCACTGGGCCAGAGTACTCCGCAGCCGCTACCACAGCCACCAAGCCCGCGGCCGCCATTTCCCAGCCGACAACTCTCCGGCCCGGCTCTGCGCATGCGCCACCCGATCCGCTGGGTGGGCGGGGAAAAGGGCTTGCGGACCCGGGAGAGCTCTCCCGGACGCGCTGCGCGAAGCTAGGAGCCTGCCCCGCCCACAAGCCGGTTTTCCAGGGAAACCGGACTTCGCAGAGCTGCAGCAGCCCGGCACTCTGGGCTTCCTAAAAGGCCACTACAAAAATCATCCGTAACAGCGCTCCAACTCTCGATGGTGGATTACATTAGACAGCAAAGATTCTTAGCCCTGTTGCTGCTAGAAACTTGGGCACTTAGAGGGGACTCCCTGGGATAATCCCGAAATTGTCTCTCAACTTGTTACCGTACCGCCAGATGATCTGAACTGAACTTTGTGGATATACTATTAGTTCTTGAAAGGGAAAAATACTGTGTGCACAGACTCAGCTACAAAGTCACTAATTCTTGTTGAAATTTGTTACGTATTTTTGGTTATTTTTATGAAACAGCTCTTAATGAAACCAAGCGTTTTAAATACTACGTTGGCACAAACTTTATTACTGACTAGAGCAGAACGAATAGTATTTAAGTCTAACATTGAAATCTGGCTATGATATAAATGTAGAGAATAAATTTAGAACCGAAAGATCAAAACCGGAAACCATTCTAGTAATGAAAAATACCATTCACATTTAAATAAGATCTCCCTAGTCTTGAAGTCTGTTATTTTCCCAAATCTGTTTTAAATTCAAGCCATTCCTAATAAGCGATTTAAATTTGCTGTACAGAATTCGAGGGCCTGACAGATAAAGTCTCTTTTCTGAAGAATTAGCTAATCTTATTTTGGTACCCAAGAAGGCCAGTTACAATAAGAAAACAGTAATAGGGCTGAGCGTGAAGAGAGGATTATTTACTAGTGGTCACAGCAAAGCAATCCCTTCCAAGAATGAGTGAGACTCATTTGAATCAAACCCAAAGAGTTATGAAATAGGACAGGATGACAGCAAAATTCCATAATGGAAGATGAGTGTACACATATTCAAGTATGATTTTGATGCATGTGAGAGCATTAAGACAAATGAGAAAATCCATCGCAGAACATGAAAGAAAATATGAGGTGTGAGAAGCTACTCATGATTCACGGCCCAACTTCAGGGAAGCTCCAACAAGCACTTTCCTGAGTTCAAGAAATTGTAAAAATGTTTCAGTAATAAAGCTGATTAGTAACAGTTGCTTAGAGACCTGTTCTATGAGCCCTTTTGTTTTGTTTTGTTTGAGATAAGAGACCCAAAGCAGCCCAAGCTGGCCTTGGCCTTCCAACCCCTGAGAATACAAAGCAAGTATATGATACTGATACCATGTCTGGCTCTCCACAATGTGACATTCTAGTTTCTTTTGCAGCAAGTCCCACAATAAATTATTAATGTCTATTAATGGGTCCCTTCATGGTAAGTAATGGGTAGTTTTTGTCAAGTAATGTTTATCCAATATGTGTATTTTCTGGTCTTTCTGAAAATTGTTATACTAAACTAGCCGGGCACATGTTATAATCCTAGTACTTGAGAGGTTGAGGCAGGAGGATCTAGGCCAGTCTACCCATAAAGGGATACCTGTCTTGGAAAAAAAAAAGATTAAGTTGGGCTGGCAAGATCATAAATGGGGGAAAAAAAGCTTGCCACACAAACTCAACAACCTAAGTTTAATCTACAGAGCCTGTGGTAAATGGGGAGAACTGAGTATTGTCTAACCTCTATGCCCACTCACATACTACACACACACACACACACACACACACACACACACACACACACACACACTATATAACTCTATGGAATCGCCAGATGTACCTTTCCAAATGCACTATGGTCCTCTTATTACTTTATATTTGCATGAATTCTGACAAATTCTTCGCAATATGGCCTCTTTTCCTATTGACATGAATACTCCACTACAATCTCAGCATGGTAATCCTAATCCTGATCTGGCCAGATGTGTAAATGGAAACTAGTCTATTTGACTTTATTTGCAGCCATTAGTGAATTAAAGTCGATGCTATACACACCTCCCATATCCCAGGGAGATATGCAAAGGCTGACCACATGAATAAAAGGAAGCATGGAAATCAAGATACGTAGATAGGTTATATATTAACCACAGAGAGAAAATTAAGGGGGAAATTGGAGTTTTTCAGAACATGGCATGAAAGTCTATAGATATCTGAAGGCCAAAATAAATTAAGAGGTCTGTGGGTAGGGTATGCACATGCACATACAATATGTAAAATTAAATCTCAGGACTAGATAGGTGGTTCAACAATTAAGAGCACTGGCTGCCCTTCCAGAGGTCCCGAGTTCAATTCCCAGCAAACACAATAGGATCTGATACCCTCCTTTGTCAAGTAGATGTATACATCAGAGCATTCATATGTATAAAATATGTAAATGAACTACAGTCAAATTAAATCTGAGTTGCAGTCAGCTTACTGGTTAGAACTTGTTGCTCTTGCAGAGAATCTGGGTTTGGTTCTAGCACCCATGCAGTGGCTCACAACTCCAGAACTTGTGATGCCCTCTTGTGACCCTGGTGAGCACCAGGAACACATATGGTACATAACCTATAAACTCAGAAAACACACACACAGGTCTAAAAAAAGTTTTAAAAACTTGTCATAAAATGAGAGATCGAGGGGAAATTCTTGAGATGCCTGAAGACTTGGTTTGGGTTTTCAACAGAAGTAAATGAAAAATGTATAGAATTCTCACCCTATTCCCCCCATCTCTCTCTCTCTTTTTTTTAATCTTCTGAGACAGTATCTGTGCAGTCCTCGCTGTCTTCCATGTTTGGCTTTCCTGCCTCTGCTTCCTGAGTGCTAAGATCACAGGCATGCACTCAAACCCAACTCCTCAATCTTCATAAAGTAGGTACCATATTACAAGTTATCAGAAACGGAGTCTTTGTGGAGAGTTCTTAACTTAGTGAAGAGGGCAAAAGGGATACAGAAATCAACCACCTTATCTAACTACTGTCCTGCTGTAAGGAGAAGTTGAACAAAAGAGCAGTAGAAGCTATTCAGTCTTAGGCACAGACAGACTCCCCTTCTTCCTGTTTATTTTATAGGCTAAAACTTAACTCATTCAGTACCAGAAGCAAGTTTCACTTCAATTTCAGTATCTTTCATAGTCACTCAAAAATTCATTGTGGGTACTCCTTAAGGCTACGTCTAAGATCAAAACCTTGGTATATCACATCCTCTTTAAATTTAAGAAACTGACTTGATGAATATTCAACAAATGTTTGGTCATTTTAATTTTGGTTTTGCTGAGACAAGGTTTGGTCCTGCCTAACCTAGAACTCACTATGCAGACTAGAATCTGCAGCAATCTTACTGCCTGCCTCCCACGTACTGGGATTTCAAGGTGTGTGCCATCATACCTGCCTTGCCTATTCCTTTAATAGGGTCTAATTCATTTTTAAAACTTTATACAACAAAGCTTAATGTGATTTTCTACTTATTAGAGGAAATGAAAAAGGGGGGAAATGGGCTGAGGTGTGTGTGCACACACACACCTGTCAGAGCGCACATGTGGAAGTCAGAAGATGGTATGCTTTCTGGAGTCTGTTCTTTGCTCCCATCACATGGGTTCTGGGGATCAAATTTTGGTTATCAGACTTGGTGGTAAGCACCTTTGCTCACTGAGTTAGGAGACATTAATAGCCATACACACTAGGTAAATAGCTCCCTATTTATCTTTAGTATGATACACACACACATTAGTATATCTCATCTGAGTATATTTAGAAGTCTACAATTTCCAAGCAAATCTTTACATCTCTTAGGTCTACAGTATCCAAAATTATTTTCATAAACGCTTGGGGTTTACTGAAGTGTCCACTTTGAAATGTGCTGAAGGAGCTGGAGAGATCCACCACCAACATCAAGCTGTTCACAGCACCTCTAACGCCAGTACCAGGGGATCTAACACCTTCATCTGCCCTTCATGGGCACCAGAAAACACAGTGAATATGCATACATGCAGGTGGTACACACAAAAATATTTAAACCAATCTTTGAAAAGTGATAAAACTGGATATTGTGGCAAATTCCTATAAACTCAGTAGTCTGAAAGCTGAAGCCTAGCAATGTGATACACAGTCTGGAGGGGGAAGGAGGAATGGGGGAGAGAAGAAAGGAAGAGGCCAGGGGAGAGAGACTGGAACACCACCACCAACTCTGCCCTAGCTCCAAACGGAACCACCATCTTTGATTCTTTGATGGGAAGCTTAAATCATATATACCAAGTGACAAGATAATTAACTCCAAGTAAATTTAAAAGGTTCACTAATCAGAAATGAGTAAGTTCTTTTTGCTTTAATATTGCCTGCATTTGGGATATATGGAATTCTTTGTATATCAAGTGAATTTTTTTAATCTCTTCATACTGCCAAATTGCATTTACTGTATGAATTACATTACAGGCAGCAACATTTAATATGTATCTCTAACAAAACTAAAAAGTTGACAACCACACCCATATGTTCCTTAAACATAAATATTTTATAATTTGATTATAATTAATATAGTAAAAAGTTTATGTTTAAAAATATATGACAGATTCGAACACTAGTCTTTTTCCTCTGTGTGCTACTTTTTTTTGAGATGGGGCTTAGAATTAGCAATCATCTTCCTGGTGTACACTGGAAACATTGGCCTTTCCTAATGAATGAGTTTCAGTAACTTCAATATTAATGTAAGTTAAGTAGGAATTATCATTGAAAGAATAGATTTACTAAGCATACCACAAATGCTGACATAGGGCTATTATTAATTTTTAGGTATCTGACACATTAAATACCACAAAACTACTGTCTATGTATGAAGCCATTTATTGTCCACTGAGAATTATAAGACATGAGGCTCAAAACCTGACTGTTAAATGCGTCTTAGGAAATGTCCGGCGTCACTTTCCTAAGATGTAAGAAGAGGGACTGATGAAGACCATCTAAAGGC